TACATGAAGTAGGCAAGATTTTTACGGGTTTGAATTTTAGAATAAAATTTTGGGTTATTGGTCGAATGTGATTCAATTCGCACGTCTACTTGTGACACTGACACTTGCATTAGAAATTTCTGGGAGTCTTGATCGTGATTATCTCGTGCTATTTTGAAGTATTTTAAGCTTTTTCTACAAATCATCATTGCAGAATATGCTTGGACGTGTTTTGCGAATTAGCGCTTTTTCTCGCCAAGTTGCCGCTGTATTTGCTGTGCGACCGTCAACCACATGTACAGCAACGTCATCTCCAGATGATCCTTTGAAAGGTATTGTTGCACACACTCGTTTTAAGTGCTTGCATGCAGTATATATGGTAGTGATGCTTCATTATTTGATCGAGTAATAGGCGTAACAGCTCCAGAAAACACAATCATTTATGAATAGGAAAAGGCGGAACCTCCGCTTTGTGCTTGTTTTCGTAGATTGGCTCATCGGCTCCTGGGGATATGAGCGGGTACGGCCACTGACGCGGCGCGTTGGGACATCAATGATCAACTGATGCTCACGCGCTCAGAAAGCTAATCCATGTCATCGCGTCAGTGGCCAAAAGCCCCCCTCCCCTATCCCTTGGATGAGATAAGTGTTACGTGATCACATGTGTGCGAAAATTCAATTGCTCCAGGAAGCATGGATTAAGGATCGAATCATCATGCAACTTTGATATGTATATAGGGCTTATCGACTCCTTGTCAAATGAAAACGAGATTTCTCCTGCCGAAAAGCTGATTCCTTTTTCTGCAAATATCAAAGACTTCAGAAATGTATGTTTACTGTTAAACTGATAATCATATTCAGTTGTTTTATATAGTTCACAAGACTCATGTGCACTATCTCTTTTAGTTTCTTGAAACGCGAAAGGACCGACTCCAACCTTCTGATTTCTTAAATGTTCTGAAGTCTGCCCTGCTACTAGATAGAGAAAATCGTTTTGCTTCAGAATTTATCAAGAAGTACATAATTGCCTATTTGACATCTGATATCAGTTTCATGAATGCTTCACTTCAGTTGCGGAAAAGAACCTAACGAGCAGGCTATTATGCAAATGCCGGTAAATGATGACCTGATCTCAATGATGACCGCTCTCCTTGAGCTTGGGCTTGCAAAAGAAGAATTATTTCGTAATCTGGAAAAAAGGCTTTCAGGTGACATAGGTAAGTACAATTTTGCACTCTCAGTTTTGAAAAGGTAGTGTACTTCCGAGACTTTTGATGTCCAGTTGTCTCAAGTCACATTTTCTAGGTGGGTCTCTCCATCTACTGATTTTAAAGACAATTTCGGGTTGTTTTGAGTGATTCATGAAATTTCCTAAAATTAGCTTTTGGCGAGAGCATGGTTTTGGCCTTGTACCATAGGAGCTTACAGCAAAAACAGATTAAATATGGCAGAAGATACCTGCGCGTCTCTTCGCTTGCCACCATGTAGGTCGACGGTTGTTTTCCCCACTCTCACGCACACCCACGTGGCCTGTTGTCCCTTTGACATTTTTGTCAAATTCAAAGATTTGTTGCTGAATCGGTATATATATATATATATATATATATATGCT